GATTATAAGGATGCGTACCGGCAACATCTGATCACAGAAAGAGCACACCCGATCATAAACAAGGAATGCACCCAAAAAGCCACAGTACCCATGGAACATTTATCCACACATATGCAAGACTACGGTTGGAAAACGTCAGGTAATTCCTCTATGCGAAAGCGGCAACCCGTAATTCCTTCAAGTCGTTCGAACTTCATTCGATCTCCATGCTGCTGACTCATTTTCAATGGATTCTGGAAGAAAATGCATGTTAAATTACATATCTTCATGGACGCATGACAAATGCCTATGATAAACACGCAGAATTGAAAAAATTAACATGCGAAGTTATTTCAAAAATTTAGAAATGAAAAAGTTCACAAGCCGAAATAAAAAACATGGCATGACAAAAGGATGTAACACCACGTCGTCATGGCGCTGGGGTCTGAAAACCGGTAACCAAATACGTTGCTACTTATGAGTAGTGTAACCATAAGAGCGAAATATTTCGACGTCATTCATTCTGTTAGGTCCATTTTCGAAAAGGCTACCATGCGTCAAGTTCTGCTCGGAATTCCCAGAAGGGACTGTGGACGCGCACGATTGCTGAAGTCAACTGAGAGAGAACAGCGAGTCTAGTACTTACTGGGCGACTGGATAAATTGATAGATATATGTGGAGACGAAGTCTAAAGAATGGCTAATCGAAATCACTGGGCACAGAAGTAAGCAGCAGAAAAATTGAAAATTGAAATCGTGATATTAACCCAAAAACGGTATGGTGAAAAATAGTTAGTTGCAGATTAAAGTGACAACAAAACCCAATATACACAAGTAGAAACTGATTTTGTACATGGTTGGTTATTTTCTTTCCATTTACAAGTGAAAGTGCTTATTGGAAAGCATGTCTCATATGTGGAAATATTTGAATTCGGTGACGGTAGAGACCGTCCACTCCTTGTTTCTCTGGTCATTTTTTGAATCCCGGCCAGTTTCTCAGCCATTTATTAACTGCTTTTCATTGGTGTTAGCTTCCTTTGTGCATAATGATAGTGAAAGTAAATCAAAAATTGCGACAATTTGGGAAGATCAAGATTGTTAATGCAGTGTGAGGTGTGGACTAAGTACACACTTCTGAAGGCAAGGAGTATAATTTGGATTTAGCTATTTTTGTGTTTAGCCAATGATTTTTATCTTATGAAATACTAGTCTGATTAAACAATCACATATAGATGTTTACTCAGTTGTCTGCCCCTATTCATCTGTCGTTCAGTGCCTCCATCTTCATGTAAGCCGATACACACAGAAATTCAAAACAAGGAGCCATTTGCCCAAGATACTACACATCGAGCAGACTATCGGGAATGGCCGAGCGATCGCGCACATCCAATCACTCCCTCTGTATCCTATCGGCCACCAAGTGGTGAGATGAGCGGAGACACCACTTACATGGCTGATTATGTGCCACACGCATGGAGTCGAAATCAATTGTTCGGACCGAAACATAAACGCCAGTTGGACTTACCACCATTCGAAGTAAGTTTGATATCGCGTTTTCATCACAGGGTGGTGGATAATAGCATAAGCACTCCTACAGTCAATTAGCATTCCTTTTAAGTCAATAGATTTTCCATACGAAAACAAAATAGCTCATTAAATTTCGGGCCAATTTTTAATAGTACATTTACCATCAATCGTTCACTGTCCTTCTTACTAGAATTTTCTTCCAATAGGGATGCTAATTTCATCCTTATATCTTTCAAATTATTTCTACAATTCCATTTCGCCTGTTGATCAAATCGCTTAATCTGAGATTGTCTGTTCATCGGGCGTATCTTTAAACGAAGGCAAATTGAAAAAGTGAAATGCTCAGTAACCAATTGAACGCTTTTTATAAATCCGTTCTGCATCCGTTCTGCATGAATGGTATTAACGATTCATGTATATGTGTGCATATATATTTCTATGCGCGATGTTAAAATTCAACTAACAGCAGATTGTTGGTAATATGCTTACTTTCAACCTGAGATATCCCGGGTTCAATCCTCGATAGATTCGCGCTGCTGATGAGATCCAACTAGGCAGAAACCACTATCCAGTGACTTTTAGCTTCTCAGTTTACACTTCATTTAACCTGTGCACCACCAAATTCAAAATAAGATGGTCGTAGATTTTGGACAATATTCTCCTCAGGTTAGCCTAACGGTCTCCCCGTAAGAGGCGTGTTACTCATTCACAGGTGACCTGTTACATTTGACACTGGCAAGCTGTGAAAGCACTGAAGAGTTGTTTATGAGCATTAACAATGCATATTTGCCCATCCTGGTTCACTTAGTATACGGTCTATGGGAATTGTTTCTCTGGAACCTCTGACTAGTTAGACTATTCGGATCACTTTCTGGGGAGCAGCCGTGAAATCGGGAGTTGATCACCGTTTGATGAAATTCGAATTGGCGCAATACTGATTGATAACAATCAAGATCGATCAAGTGATGAACATTATTGCTTTGTATCACTGAGCTCTCGTGCAAGAGATTGAATCTAATGAGGTTTGATGGATATGCACTAATGTTTATTAAAGCCAGGGATAAAACGGAGTAGCGAGGCATATCAGTAACACTGCAGAGGGCGTTTACATCTAATGAATGAACCGACGCTTGGAAACAATTTCCTATGAAATTTTACATTGGTCGGACGAGAACATGCCGCCCACAACGGTAATGAATGTGAGTCTGTCCTATGTTCTTCGAATTTATGTCTATGTTTATCATCACTGTTGCATTGTAATTTATTTCGTGGCTTTTATTGTTTTCGCACATTTCATGTCCCATGGAATTATTCCAATCCATAAAAGATAATCCTTCCTGTCTTTTCTTACTCAAATGTCATGAATATATTTGAACTAGATTTTACAGCTGAAGCAAGCAACCCGTTTACATGACAAACTCCTCAACTGTCCTCAATCTTTCAATTCTGTTCCGGTTCTCATGTTCAGAATTTTAACAAGTTTCATACTTTACAGGCTATTAGCAATAAATTTATCCACTTGTTTATTCTTCACATTTCACTTTGTCTCTATCCTCCCGTACACTTTGATATTTTTGCCTCATCCAAGTGGTGGCTTTTTGACCCAAGCATTGATTTTACCGAGTTGAGTTTTTTCTAATATCTAAATTCTGGTCAACGTTCTGCATGAATTTTTACATGAATGTTTGTATGCAGCTAACAAGATGGTGATAATCAGTTGCATTCGACCTGTCCTATGATGAGGCTTATTTCCCCGTTGATGACGTTTCTGAAGTGGACTGATTGCGCAAAATGTGGTAGAAGTTGTATATTACGGTTTATCAATGAACACCCGTGTTTCTTCAATTCAGATGAATGATCTGGGCATATAATTATTGAATTAAAATAAAATTCCATGTTTACAGTTCTATCATAGTATATTTTAGTGCTGTAAGGTATCTTTTATCACAACTCTTCAACGAGTATTTTCTACCCATTCACATGATAAAAATTCGGAAATATTTCAGATCACAAATTAACGCGTGATCTCCGCGACTAATCCGTAAAAGTTTACTATTCTTTTCAAGTATTCTGATGGAACCCAGCGGTTAAACGACAGGGTAGGATGCTGTTTGGGGGCAGGGGGAAGAGAGAGGAAGTACTGATTTTGTACAGACAGGGAGGAGGAGTTTCACCAAGAGCCAGTACGCCGAGAAGCTGATGACGCCCGAACAATTTGATTGCTCAGTTCCGGTCAGCTAAATAACCAACTCGCCTAAAGTGATTTTAGAACGATTTATATTGCGTCTCTGATTGATTAATCTAGTTTACCATGCAGTCTGTTACTCGTTTCACTAGATAACGATCCATCGCTCCAGTAATAAAGGTCTAATTTTCGGATTTTTTGTTCAACTTATTTGGGCTTGTGTGTACCTGAGTTTAGGAGCCGATTTCAGACAATGATGTACGCAACTGAACTGAAGAGTAAACAACCTGAAAACTAATTTGAACTCCGATGGCTACTGCTGAGACATAATGACAGCCAAAGTCGAATCCGGTGCTTCCCGAATGTGGACTGAGTATTATGTGCGGAGTCCTAAGAATCGTCGGTTCAAATTAATAACATTTTGAATAAAACACAATGTAGCGCACAAGACTTGTTTTCAGTTATTCCTCTTCTTTGACTAATACATCACAATTTGTATCACTTGGTTAAAATACGGGAGAAGGGATATTACAAAAAATGACAATGACAAATTCATAAACTTTTCATTTTTTTGTAAGTAATATCTCCGCGCTCCCGTATTTTAACCGAGTTATATAAGTTGTGAAGAGGAATTACTGAAAACAATTCTTGTTCGCTACTTATGTGTTTTATTCAAAATGTTCGTTGGTTGTCTAATGGGATGATTCAAACTAATAACGTCTATTACGCACCACTACTCACAAGTAACTTTAAGTTAAATGCGTATTTAACTGAAAATTGCTTCGATTCTGCGGTTGTTATAGTTTCAGTTAGTCTTCGACTGAATGTTCTTCCATCAAATCTCTAAAATACGAACTTTCCGACAATTTTACGCAAAGATGCAAGAATAAAATATCTGCGTTCAACTGAAGGGAGTCACTTGTTTTTTTGCTTATTATCCAACCGATCTGTCGTTCGTTTTTAAGTAAGTAATGACGATCGATTCACAGTTCCGACCGAACTGCGTGCACAGAGGTTCAAAAAACTGTGCCACTAAACTGATACAAAGTTCGTTCTTTTAGTTTCGTGCTCAACGATATTCAGTCGCGTGTGTATTGACATACAAGATAAATTGAATTTGGATTGATCGGCACTAACTGAAACATACTGAGCCTATTGACCCATGGACTATTGAGGCTATCTGGTTGTAGTCAAACGCCCTAGTTGACCGTAGAGTGTAAAACTGATGATAAACTCCACTCCACAATCAATGATAACCTCAGAATTTATGATCCAGGGACTCACGGACAGATTAAAGGAACCCCATGGTTGCGACCCCTGTGCTATCCTTCACCCTCATTACTCTACACTTTGAGTATGTCCTCGTTTTTACCATTGCTACGTATTAATTGGTACAGCTTGTTTCGAATTTTACTTAATACCAAAACGCATTTATGTTTACCTCATGCAGTGAACTGATAACTGGACCGATGATTTTTGGTTCACTGAATAATTCTTATTGTCAAGCACAGTACCAAATTTCATTTCCATCTCCTTCATTTTGAACGCATGAAATTTGAATCATCTTATTCTTGCAAATAATCCAGGGTATGTCAGATTACCGGGACAGTTATCGGGCTTGGAGTGTCGTCGGCAAACCGCGTGTTTGTTCACCGGACAATGCGTATCGATCTCCATCGGTGCCGTTTGATGGTAGAAGCACCAGTAAACAGCACTATGTGCCACACTGGGGTCACCACCCAGCGGAGTCCTGCAAACCGCAGGTACAACCGCTGTCTAGCGAGACCGCATTCGACGATGCCACGATATATCGTGCAGAATATACAGCGAAACATTTGGATCCATGTCCCGCTGCACTGTTAAACACAAAGATGAGTTTGTATCGGTTCGAACAAGAGGTGAGTCTTTTTCTGCCACGTCATATAATGAATTGACTAAACCCTTCTTTCTATCTCTCACCCTCGCTTTACAGTTTCTATACCTTGTTTATTTCAGACCGATTATTAGATATGCTTTGCTTTAAAATCGCCACCTCGACAAGGTGCTTATTCCCCAAATCACAGATTGATTTCCCCAATGACCACTATTTTTAGAACTTTGCTATTGTTGCACTTTGCAACATATGATACCTAGTGATACAAGTATATTTCCTTCCCACTGTTGTCATAGCGTCCCGCAGATGGAACAAAACTAAATGAACGATTATCGATTGAGAACTACCCTGGGAAAATAAACTGGTGCGAGCATGTTGGCAAGAAAGACCAGCGAGTAAAGAAAGCCATGATTGATAGTTTAGTAACTGAATTTGTCTCTCTGGGTGTATGCATCTGTGGGATAGAAACCACAAACGCCCCACTAAAGTGCGTGGTTAATGAAAGATCAAACTAAGGGGCGAACAAAAGGATTGCGACTAAAGGCGCTAAAAATCAGCTTCGAAAAATGAACCATTCAGGTAAATGCTGAAGCATGGATACACTCATCACCGTCACCTGGATGACTAAGTTAGTCTATTCTGGTAAATTTGGTGCCCCCTATTGAGCCTACACCTAATACCATGAAACAGGTTACCTTTACCTCTTATATTGTGTGATGAATAGCAGATGTAAACTCCATAACCACTAAGATCCATTGTTTACCTATGATAAGCGTCAACCTAAACCCTATGACTTAGACTGGAGCACCACATAGGACGCTAAAAGACCTTCATTAGAAAACCGGTGTCTCTGAAGCATTTTTGATGTCTGGTGGGTTCCGATGAGTGCTGATAGCTGTCTTCTAAAAGAAGTAATCGCCGTCCACCACCTAGGATGAATCGGTCAGGTTTCGCATGTTTATCAACCTTTTTCCTCGTATGCTGCTTTGTACTTACTGAGTAAGGCTGAAAACAAACTTTGTGGCGGTTAAACTGTGATTTCAGTTCACTTTTACTTCATTTCATTGAATATACAGTTTTCAGGATGGAGAAGCGGTCAATCAAAGGGCATTAGGGTATGAAAAAGGTTACATTCGCTTTGGGTGGTGCAATCAGCCTTGCAGAATGGGGCCTGAGAAATGATGGTTATCGATGGTTAGAGTTACGGCTCAGATTAGAAATCCGCATCCCACAAATNATGATAGAAAACAGCACAGAGAAGAAATATCAAGTGTACAGGAAAAGAACCAAAAGGCACTTGTTGGCTTTATTCCTTTGGCTCTCTAATTCTCTGCCCCCCACACATAGTTCTTCTTCTATTTTTTTCTTTTCATTTTACTTCCGTTTACTGAATATACAAAGATACAATTTCCAGGAAGGGGGAAGCAACCAATCAAAGGGCTGTCATTCAACACATCCCGGGGTGATAAACTGGTTTCGCTACCACCGGGCCACCACCGCCCGATATGTACCCAAACCCTACCCTCTACTATTGTTACTGTTTCGCTGCTGCCGAGCTTGGTCACAATCCGGGTGTTAATCCAGCTCGTGCAACATCACTCTCATTTTGGTAATACATTTCAGTTTCCAATAGACCACTTGTATATAGATACATATGAGTAAAGTGTATTTATTCCGGACGTTATCTCCCACTTCCTCGTTCTTAGTTTTTTCTATCGCCGTTGGAATTTACACGATCTTGAGTGTTGCGATAAGATTGATAACAGTTCAAAAGTTACAGATCAGATGTAGAAAATATTTTACTCAAAGTAGCATGGAAATTCATTCTTTCTAATAAGTGACTCCTGTTTCATTAGGCTAAAGAAAAACCAATCAAGGAGATGAAAAGAGTGGTCTTAATTACCTTTTTTTAACACGGAACTCTGACTGATGCTGACCAGATACAGTCGGTAACTTTGTGCTTCCATTATTCTGATCAAGTGGAACACTGTTGGTCTACCCTGAAAAGCTTACCTGCGTGTTTGTGCGTGGATCTAGCACGAGAGAATCGTTTTAACTTCTGATTCGCACAAGGGTTGCACTTTTATAACATAGATTCCCTTCTCAACAATAGTGTTAACAACATCAGTACAAAACTAACTCGTAATTAGCATCAATATTACAAGTAAGTGATTCGAAATATCGAATCATGAGTCGTAGGAAGAGTAGGACTCTTATTAGGCATTTTCACCATAGTTGCGCTTATTTCAATTCAACTGAAATAAAACTCCCTTTAACTTAAATTGTTACGCGCTGTAAACGTATAAATATGTGTTTTATGAACTCTGCTCTCCTTTTAGAATGAAGAGGGTCACATGATCTATTATCGGAATACCGATGAAGGAAATTCGTTCAGCCCCAACACAGACAAAATGGATACCCATCCCAACATATCAACAGCTGTTGCAGTGGCTAATTAGAGAACGACCATATTTTGGACAATGCCTGTTAGCTTCGATCAAACCGTCACAAAAAGAGCCACCGTGATTGCTGCATTCATTGTCATCGCACTGCGTATACGGTACAAGAGAATGAAATAGATCTACGCGACGCCAATTCCAGACCGATTCACATCACTCGATACATATTTCTTGTTAACGTTGTATTAGTCTAAAATTAAAAAAATCAAATTCTGCTTACAAACACACCAGGGTAGAGTCTGTACGCTAACACATCATTGCAAGAAGTGATTTAACTGTGTAGAAGTGCTATGATCACGCTTGTCCAACCCATGCTCGTACCCATAACAAACAACGAGACTACAACGCAAACTTTACCCATTCAAGCAGTTGATATATATATATATATATGCTGTCCAGCGCCATTGATTGTTTAGAGGCACTATTCATATGCTAACATTATGCACACACACATACACGCTCACTCATTCACTACAATTATTAAATAGATTCAACAAACAGAAAATTCAGCTGAGTAGAGCACATGAATTGAATACAAATTTATGCACAACTTGGTCCTAGATCATGCACGTACGAATTTCTATCGGTATCATCAAATTATCAAATAAAAACTATAAAACTATACCAGTGTTTTACTAACACAAATAAAAAGCAACGGTCAACTATATATCTCTACCACCGTCCTTCTATTATGCAGACATCTCATTACAAATTGCCATTATCACCAATATTATTCTCATTGCCTTCCTTACTTTATCTATTTGGCTAAATTATCGTAGTCTTCTCACGAGCTTATCCACAAACACATAAAAAAGAAATACAAAAATTGAATCATTCCTGTATGCGTTTTGTTGCATATCCTGTTTGAGTGGACAGTTTCTACGATCTAAATGGTATTATAATGATGACTGCTCCATGGTATCATGTTCATCATCCGAAAATAGAGCATCATCATTACTGTCGTCGTCATCGACGAAGACCTCTTCCTCATCCTCGTCATCATCATTTGCAGCACTTTTGGAATTATTTCTTCAACGTAAAATGATACAATGAATGAAGTTTCTAATAATAAGCTAAAAAATATCAACTTCGCATATTTTGCTTTATCACTGATGGAATGACTCGGTCTAGATTATTTTATTTTCCTGTCACAGCAGTCTGTGATCCTGTTATTGAAACGTATCACCAAAACTTCACTTCCACATTTCATTATTTCCCAACATACCGATTGGCCTATTTACAGCTAACTGTAAAATTTCACTGTGCACTTGCCTGAGCCATCACATGAAATTTGTGATCATTACTATCAAAATATATTTTTGGAATATATTTGACGTATGATTCGGGTATGCTGCGTCTACCTGTCTGTCTGTCTGTCTGTCTGTCTGTCTGTCTGTCTGTCTGTCTGTCTGTCTGTCTGTTATCATCTCATCAATTCACAATATATATTGCTGTTATGAGCCTGCTTGACAAACCTGGGCGATTTTTATTGCATTGTTGATTATTTCCGATGATTAGCTTCGGATTTAAAAATAAAAATAAATTCATGCATGGCATTGAAGAATGCGCAATCAGACATCAGATCAAAGTGAATACATTATGCACCTCGTGACAAAAGTTTTGCAACCTCCTAGACTTTTGGATTATCTCCGATTCCACATGAAGTGATACTCATACTGTGCTGGCTTTGATCGTAACAGACGGTGTTTGACCCTCCCCCGAATCCCCGGTGCACAACCTGTTAGGAGTGTGCTCAGAATGTACATGTGTCACCTAGGCGGTAGAGAAGATTTAATTTGCCTATCACCAACGGATTTCCCGTTGTTGTTCAAATTGTCACTTCAGAATCGAATTTCCCGAAGCGTTGCGTGAATAGTATTTGATAATAAGTGGTATGTGAATGACTGGACAAAATAACCCTGAAAGCACACGACCGGTTTCGCGGTTCTTCCCGGTCATCTTTTGTCAGTTCATTCATATACTTGTAACCAGGAAGTGTATTTTCGTCACAATAACCTTGTTTGCAACACCGGGTAACCATTGGATAGACAGCTCTTTCAGAGCCAGTCCAATGAAGAACCAATGCTATGATTCGATGTTTTGTAAGTGGGTTGGATTCTACTAGCCGCAACAAACGTAACCTGATGGTCTTGGTAGAATATTTGATAATAAGTAGTATGTGAATTAATATATATATATATCTTCAACCGCAAACCGTTTGAAAACCCGAGTGAGACTAAACAGAAAATTTGACAACTTGAAAGCAACACATTCAGGATATTCCGAGCCGATCCACGAATTCTCCAAACACTAACTCACAACCGCAGAATCGGCAATTCTCACGAAAGGCCTGAAATTCAACCACTCCATTGCCAAACCGACCGACTTCATCGCCTCTGTGGAGAACGGACAAAGAAACTGCTCGTTGCCCGAAGGCAAAAGAGAAGAAATTAGGATCAAAATATGCCAACAGCTCAACCAACAGAAACAGTCGCAAATGATCACTGATGTCGAAATGAAGGCATTGAAATCGCTGAAAAATGACTCCAATATTATCATTCTTTCGGCAGACAAAAGCAATGCAGTCGCACTGTTGGACAAAACAGAATATACAAAAAAGATAAAACAACTGATCGAAGACAAAGAAGCTTACCAAGTGGTCAACGGGAACCCCTTAAAGCAGCTGAGGAATCAACTAACTAAATCCTTTTCCACTCTCAAGAAAAACAAGAAACTAACGGATGACGAACATAGACGAGTCAAACCCACAGAAAGTCCGATACCACGGCTCTATGGACTACCGAAAGTGCACAAACCCGATGTACCACCACAACCCATTGTCGCATCCACAACAGCACCCAACTACAATCTCGCAAGGTACCTCTTCCAACTACTACGCCCATCATTACCTGCAAAACAAAATGATGCGAAAAGTCCCACGATTTTCCTGGAACGCATCAAGGGATTGACCATTGAACCAGATGAAGTGATAGTCTCTTTCGATGTGACCTCACTGTTTACCAATATACCGAAGCAAAAGGCCGTCGAAAGTATCCGACACTTATTGCAAACTGACCAAAATTTGCAATTAAGAACGAAACTTTCTGTGGACTAAATGGTGAAACTCGTAGATCTCTGTATGGAAACCTATTTCCAATTCGACGGGAAGGTGTACCAGCAGATGCGAGGAACTCCAATGGGTTCGCCACTCTCAGGGCTGCTTGCAGATGCGGTTATGAAACACATCTGTCTGTGGATACGTTATGTGTACGATACATTCGTCATACTCAGAGCCTCCACAGTAGATCAGTTCCACCAAATGATCAAGAGCAGGTGCCCGGTATCAACTTCACACGAGAGGAAGAAAAAGATGGACAACTCCTCTTACTCGATATCCTACTCATGAAGCAACTAGACGGAAGAATCCAAACCACGGTATACCGAAAACCGACCACGACGGACCGCATCCTCAACTAAAACAGCAATCACCCTTTGTGCCACCTAAAACGTTATGTGCGAACTCTATTCCGCCGAGCAAACACACTGTAGCACACCTGAGTTAAGGATAAGAGAAAGAACTCGACTCTTTCAACTGTTCCTATCAAACGCATATCCCAGGAGTTTTATCAAAGCGTGCCTCAGAGGTAAAAAACAAACAACACATACAAAAGAAGGAACTTGGATAACGCTACCCTACATACGCGGCACGTCAAAAGCCACCGAACGAATATTCCGACAGTTGGGAATCAAGATCGCCCATAAACCGGCAGCAACCGTGCGATTATCCCTTTTCAACGGCAAGGACCGAGTCGAACAGCACGAACGATCAGGAGTAATCTACGCAATCCCGTGTCCGGGCTGCAACCAACACTACATAGGCGAGACAGGCAAACAACTACGCACTCGCCTACCCGAACACAAGCTTGCCCTCCGACGCGCTGACCCGAGGTCACAAATCTGGAACCACTGCGCACGGACAGGTCACGAGACCGCAATCGATAACGCAAAGGTTGTGGCACGAGCTAAGAAGAAGAGGGAACGATTAATCCTCGAAGCTCTGCACTCGGTCAATTCGTTTAACCGACACGTCGAGATAGACAAACATTACGTCACACTCGCAAAACCCGTGATGATTGGTGGACCGATAGACGTACAAACAGCACACAGGCGTACGAAAAGACGGTAATCCCATTATTCCATTCATTTCATGTAAGTTTGACAACGAGTCCTAGTTTGGATCGAAACGTTGCAATAAACATTTTACAACTCAGTGTACACCTCCATTCTCTCTTGAAATATATATATATATATATATATATATATTTCACACATGTTTGAGTTCAGACTGTGCCAAATGAATCGCGGTACAATAATATTTCATTTCACCTGTTCGCCGAGCTTGGCAATTTGTTTGCAAACATTTCACTGAAAATTCCCATTGTGACATTGACAAAACAACACGCGTAGCAAACAAGCTCGTTTTCGGTAACTTCATCCACTCGCTAATACAGTTATATATATTTGCACGTTTATTCACTAAATGTATATAACTGTATTAGCCAGAGGATGAAGTTATCGAAAACGAGCTTGTTCGCTACTCGTGTTGTTCTGCAAACATTTCATCACCAACCGAGGTGACATCATCAGTGATTGTGAAGTAGCGCTGATGATGTCACCGGCTGGTGATGAAACGTTTGCCAACAAATTGCCAAGCTTGGCGAACAGGTGAGATGGGAATTCACTTCACCCGAGCTATGAGAACCAATTTTCAACATTTTGTCAACAATAATATTTATACAAAGAAAAACGTTCCACGATTGGCGTGAATAGTTATTCGAACCTTCTCATAAACACTAACTGGATGTTTTCACCGGGTTTGGAACTCCGACTTTTTGAAATTCGCGCTATTCTTCAGTTGTATTATCTGAATCAATAGTCAGTTGCTTTGATTACCTCAAAGAATACTTAACGTAGAACCCATTACTCAGTGTGTTTGACAT